TACATTACACGCCAGTATCCCATTGGCCTTTTTGGCCACCTGGGCACACTGCTGGCTCATATCAAGCCGGTAGTCAACCATCACCCCCAGGTCCTTCTCCACCACGCAGCTCTCCAGCCACTCTTCCCCGAGCCTATAGCGATGCTTGGGGTTGTCTCCATACCCTGGATGGAGACTTCTTGGAGTGAAACTTTTTTTTCTATTAAAGAAACTTCACACACCCACCGGAACTATCAAGTATATCCAGGAATTCCCTGGTGAAAAAGAAGTGTGCTGGAGCTGCAGCAAATCAGGTGCTCGCAAACTGGATTATTGGGTATCTTTATGGTATATTGAGGACTGTCTGATCAATGAATAATTTTCTTGTGTGCCAGCATGTGTTCAACTGGGGATGTGTAACAGCTCAAGATTTTTTTTTTTTTGCTGCTTCAACAGATTTTTGTGGGTGTGGGTTTTTTTTGGTGTGGAGGCCATTAAAAAAGGAAAATCTAAAATTGTCTTGATCTCTGCAGAATAAGCAGTTAGAAGAGAAATTCATAATGGCAATGTGGAAGGACTTGAAAAGATAGACATGGAATTTGGGTGCTTATTAATAAAAGATTAAACATTATTATTTTAAAAAATAATAAAAGGAGCGCTTTGCATCACTATACATTTAAAGTAAGTACAAAATCAGTTCATATATAATGTTGCACTTTAACCAAAGTATTGATTCCACAGTTCACTGTATCTGAGGGAGGAAACAGATCTTATAAATAAGTTATGTACTAGATCTGAGTTCTGGTTTTGAAAAAATGAAGCGAGGGCTTTTCCCCCATGAGCTCAACGCTTCTCGCTCATCTTCTCGTTTCTCATGATGAGGCTTTTTATCTGCTGTGTCACTGCATGTTTCTGCTCCCGTCACTGTCCTGGTGCTCCCCACCTGGAGAAGCTGTTTTGCTGGCCTCGTTGTCCGTGTTGTTGTTGAGGATGTCATCACAATCCATCTGCGCCATCAGGTTGAAGCGCTCGGCCACGCAGTGGGCGGTGAGACGAGCCTCGGGGTCGTGGTCCCAGCACTCTGTGATGGTGTCGCACAGGAAACGCATTCCCTGCAGCCAGAAGAGCTGAAATTAAGATCTGAAGGCAGGAGGAAGAGGAGCTAGAGGCTGATCTAATGCAATCGCAGTGTTTTACCACACTCTTGACCGCTTCCTGCAGAAACACTTTTTTCAGCCAAGCTTACGCACAGGAGGAAACAGCCTTTGTAAGTTGTGGCAAGTGCCGGTGCTTGCACTGTTACTGGCACTGCTTGTGTTAGAGCAGCAGCCTTGGCTTACTGGGCATCTGGCCCCCAAAATTTTCCATGTTCCCTAGAAATCCTGTGTGCAAGTTGGTTTGCGTTGACTGTGGGAGCTAAATAGAGGCTGGAAGGGAACAGACTGTCCATCTCCTGTCTCAGCCTTGCCCATTCAGATCAGAGCATCCTAAAATCAGGAGGGACAGGAGAGATGCAGAAGGTGACCTGCGGGCTGGCAGCTGAGCACAGGTCTCTGGGTTTCGAGCCTGTGCCCTGGCTGTTACACCTGGATGGAGAGGGGAGGGTTGGGGCAATTCAAAAGCAAGTTTGGAATTAAAACTTTTAAAATACGACTTATTGTTCTAGCAGCCGTGCCAAATAGTTGTTGCAATGTGCAGCTGAACTTTGTTTTCTCACCACAAAATGGTGTCTTGGTTTAGGTGGGGTTGGGTACTTCTCAGTGTGCTCCAGAACACATTCCGTTTCTCTCAGTTACAATGGTTATGTCTCCTAGTAGTGTTTGTTCTTCCAGTTGTGTAGTGCACTGAAGAGAGTCCCTATATTTTGGGCTCAGAAACAAAATGGAAGTATTCAGCTGGTGTTTTTCCCACTCTTAAGCTAGTGACACAGCTAGCACCAGCAGCTATGTTGAACCTTCCTTTGCCTATGTAATTCCTATCATGTGCTATTGCTTTTTGCATCATTGTCAACCAAGGTTGCAACACAGTGGAAAAATCATTATTCTAAATAAAGCTTCCTGGTTTTCAGTAGTTTCTGTGTATTTCTTAATTTGCAATTAAGAGAACCCAAAAGTCTTTTAGGGACCGACACAAAAGGAAAATGTAGAGATGTATCACTAGTGTCGTCTGTCCTTCTGCACCTTACTCTGAACTCCCTGCTTGCCGCTAAAGCTCATCTTACTAAATCTTCCATAATGGGTGCAGATTAGAGGGAACAGGATTGTGCAGGAAAACTGACAGATGGTACATTTCTGTAGCTCTTGCGTCACTCATTTATTAGCTTAGTTGAAAGGATTTGAAGCTAATTGATTAACATGCAAAAATGAGCTAGCTTAGCTGAAGCTTTTAAAAAAAGCCTTTTCTCAAACAACATGGCACTGTCATAAGGTTTAGTCATTAGATTCTCTGTGCTTATTTTGCCCCGAAATCATGACATGGATTTGCCGTTTGCCTTGTAAGTAGCGATGATGCTCTTTTGAATGGTACCACTGGAACATCTTGTGATGCTGACAAAATAGACTTAGTTTGGGTTTTACATTCAGAGTCTCAGATTTCCAAGTGATGCTGAGTTTCACAAATATATTTTTAGTGGTGATATAGACTTAAGCTGCCACTGCTCCTTCCTGCCCTGCACCAGCCCTTTGGTTATGCCGGTACAACAGTCTGCTCAGCTGCTTCATGAACCAGATCCAGGCATTTACCTGGCCTAGATAACCACTTATTTTTATTTTTGTTTTTGATGTGGTGGGGTGAGGCAAGGTAGGAGCATGGACTTAAGGTGATTTAAGTTATCTGGGAATCTTTGGGGATAATTTCTGCAATAGACTTTATTATGCAGCCTTGCAAACAGTTGCCCTGGAGCTGCTGATGGGCAGCACGCTGGGTGAGTCAGCTCTGTCAGGGAAATGAATGCTTACGTCTGCTGGAAATCTTAAACCGTGGCTAACAGTGCAGGTCCTCACCTGACTGAGAGCGATCCCGATGGTTGAAATGTGGAAGTAGTGTTTGGAGCTCTGCGTCAAACTTACTGTCGTTGGTGGGAACATCTATGGGTGCTTCCCGTTCTGGTGAGCTAATTTGTCACCCTTTCTTGGTGGCACCCAATGCTTCCTCCCACAGGAAGCCGTTGGCCCCAGGAGTGGCACAAACTGGTGGCTTTCTGCTGCTTCCCAGCAGATGGTGCTGCCCTGTGCCGCATCCTAAATGCCTGGAAAATCGCGTAAAGCCAGGCTTGTAAGGAGATGTTTATTAGAGCCGCTAAGATTAGTCGGAGACAAACTTTCAGGAACACAGCGTGGCTTTTCTGTTCCTCTTGCCCAGCGACCATCAGGTGGTCTAATAAAAGTGACTACTTTATAAGCCTTGCTCTGTTTATGTGCTAGACCAACCCAACAACAGCAACGTTCTTTCTCGGAGGTGACTGCAGTCGGCCCTTCTTCAGCTCGGCAAACAGCGCAGTTGCGGTCAGGCTCCATCGGAGTGGGATTTTTGACAACCTAAAAACTCTGGTTTTCCTGTGGTTTCAAAGGTTATCAGAGACCCTGGGAAGTCAATGTCTGCGATGAATACTCAAAGGCTTCAAATATGTAGCAGTGCCGACTGAAGTTCTTGTATCTGTATTTTCTTTCATCGAGGAAAAAGGCTGGGTGAACTTCAGAAATGGACTCGCCAGCCGATAAACTCACGGATGGTCCAGCAGGAACCACAGGTTCGTTTGATGCTGTTTGCAGCTTTGGTCGGTCAGGTCTGTTGTGAGTCTTTGGACAAACATGGTTCTGAGAGGAGATATTATAGGGAACACATGGCCTTCTAAGATCATGAAATTATATCTTTCCTCTTGAAAAGCCTGGCTTTATGTGCCATCCAGGTGGAGTGGAAGCAGCGGCAGTGATTTTTATGGGTGAATACTGCAAAACGATGCTCTGAACACCGTGAGGCTCTGCAAGCCCCAGCAGGCTCAACGTTTCAGCTTGTTTTTCAGGTGAATTGAATTGTTGATCAGCGGATGGTGTTTTTCCACAAAACGTGAAATTTAGAAAGTAACAAAGTCAGGCAAGATTTGAAAATCACAGTCAATGTGTCTGTTACCTCTCGTGTCCTCAATGCGTGGAAGAAAGTACTGGGCTTGGGGTAGAGTGGACTGTGTCAGGGCCAGGAGGTAGCTGTTTCTGGAGCTGGTTGGTCTGGTTATGCTTGGGGATGGTTTTAACAGAGCACATCTGATCGTTGCCGAAGTATTTCTATTCTAGAGCGCTGGGTTGTGCTTTCTGTGCTGACATGCTGTGCTTTCAGACCCTCCGAGCTGAAGGCTGGTGAAAGAATTCTTGACAAGACCTGAGCCTAGCAGGTTCTCTGCTCTTAGCTTCATGTGTGTTCCCTGATTGTTTCACTTGAGGGAGATGCTTCTCATTTTGCCTTTCCTTGCAGAAGTGCTTCTTCTCACATGCTAAGTTGTGACCTCTCATGTTAGAGGTAGTTTTGAGCTTGAAACATCCACAACCGAGCAGGCAGAAGGTTGGATGCACTTTCCTCTCCTCTGTTACTGCTGTGAGATGGCTGTGTGCAAGGGACTGTGTGTTTCCTGAGCTAGAGCTTTCTGGATGTGGTGGTTACAGGAGAAATGGGATGGACTCAGCCTGGTGTAGTGGAGGGTGTCCCTGCCCATGGCAGAGGGGTTGGATCTAGATGATCTTTGAGGTGCCTTCCAACCCTAACCATTCTATGTTTCTATGATTTACTGTTTTGTGAGAATAGCTTGCAATGAAATGCTCCACTTTGCTGTTGTTGACAAGATAACTGAATGCCATCACTTGGCATTCGTAACAGGGCTTCCTGATCAGGGCAGTTTATTCATCATGCAATTTTTACTGTACCCCTGGCTGGTGGCTTTTAAACACCAGGGAGTTGGGTCTTGTGGGGCTTTCATGGGCTCAGCCAGCCAAGAAGGAGCTGTAAGTAGGGCCTAGGAGTTCAGCCTGCTTTTGCTTTAATTACAGCTGTAATGATTTTTAGGCTCAATTAGTGAGATGGGATGACATTTCTGGACCAGCTCTACTCCCAGCTTACCTGATGCACCAGCCAGCTGCTCGGGATCTCGGGGCGTCCTCTGCCATGCAGCACGATGTCCCTCATGGTGTCCACACAGGGCTGCTCCTGGACTTTTGACCCAAAAGGCAGCTCATAATTCTTTACCTCTGCAAGGAAGCAATAGCAGCATTACAGGATGTTGTTCATGCAATCACTGCTTTGCTTTGGTATGGTCTACCGGATGGAAACAAATTTGTATTTATCAGTCTGCAAAAATAAATGGATCTGGAAACAATTTAGAATTTAAATGTAAACGTAGTACTGGGGCTTCATGTAGAGGTTGTTTTCAGAGACAGGACTGAGGAATTGTCTGACTGCCTTCCTGAACCCAACAGGTGTGCTGCGAAAGACTTGTTTTTTCTTCGGGTGAAACACCTTTTCAGCAGGTAAAATGTGTTGTGCAGGTGAAAGATAGCAAAGGGGACCACTGTACCAGCACCCAGAGTCCTGCTGCGGGCAAGGATTGGGTTAGAGGAGAAATGGCCCTTCCAGAAGAAGAGCAACCACATGTCATGGGCAGCCAAGGAGAAACTCCCTGCTGCAGAGGTGAGAGGCCACCCTGGTTTCTGCCAGCTCCTGCCCGGATGCAAATGCAGGTGAAAGATGAGTGGAGATGGTGGCTTGGGAGCAAAGGATGTGCAGGGCATCTGAGCCAGGCAAGGGTCTCCCACTGCCGAGTACGGGGCACGTGGGAGTGGTTGGGGCAGTTTTTGTGCCAAAGGCTGGGAGCTTCTTGCAGCTCCTTGGGCTTGTATTGCAAGTAGGTGGGATAGGGAAGGAACCAGAGAGCACTAGAAAGGGAAGAGGGGGGAGCAGGCAGGGGCTGACAGCAGGGCAGTTAATTGAATGTTTTGCCACACGCGATTTCAGATGCCAGGATGTGGCTCTGGGAAGTGAGGGGGGACGTGGCTGTGGGAGGCTGGAGTTTGTGAGTCCCTGTTGCAACATAAACTCTGGTGGTGTCTGAAAAAAAAAAAAAAAGTGCTTGTGGCCAGGGAGGGGGGAGGCAGCTTTGGCTCTTCCTGCTTGGTTTGCTTTGCGTGGCCAGCACCGACTCGGATGTGACTTGGCGCTGGCTGGCTTTGAGCGGGGGCTGGACCAGATGACCCCTCCCGGGTCCCATCCTGCTCCTCGGCCACAGGGCCAGCCCCCTCGAGCCGTAGCACACAGAGCAGGCAGCCATGGGGAAGGATTAGCTGCCAGCTGTTAGCAACCCTGCAAAGACTCGAGCCATCCCAAAATAGGTCCTGCGCCACTGCCGGGACGCAAGGCTGAGCCGCGTCCCTGTATGGGGAGGAAGGGAGCAAAAAGGCAGGTGGCAACCCCGGTGTGATGCTCCTACCTCCAACCACTTCACATCTGGAGGCCATTTCCCACAAAACGAGGGCCATGGAGTAGACATCCATCTGCTTGAAAGACTCCAGATCTTCCAGGTTCACCCTGGACTCCAGGACTTCTGGGGCCATGTACCTGGCAGTGCCCACCTGCCCACGAAGAGGAGAGATGCGTTAGCAGGATGGGTGAGGGCTTTGGCCACGGGGTGACCAGGGGTGTTTTGCAAAAGGTCATACTCGCCTGCCCGCTGTTGGCGAAGTCGTCCACCGTCAGGGAAGGGTCAAGGCGTATGGCGATGCCGAAGTCGCAGAGCACGCACTCCTGCTCGTTCTTCACCAGCACGTTGGTGCTTTTGATGTCGCGGTGGGCGATGGGGATTTTCGGCCGGCCGCAGGCGGTGTAGTCACTGTGGAGGTGGGCCACCCCGCTCACCAGGGAGCCTGCCATTTTCTGCAGGTCCATCCAGCTCAGGACGTGGCGGGAGAGGTAGTCCTTGAGGTTCCCCCGGCTGTGGTAGGCGGTGATGAGCCAGTACTCCCGGCGGGGCCCCGCGCCCCGGTCCTCGGCGGTGAGGAACCGCAGGACGCTGTCGTGCTTCAGGCTGGCGTCGGTGAAGATCCGGCTCTCGTTCTTCCAGGAGGAGTACTCCTCGCAGGGGAAGATCTTCACGGCCACTGTCTCATACCGCCCCGAG